TGAGAGCTGCGACGGGTGCACGTCCAAAGTTGAGACTGGAAAAGGTAGTAAGGGTTGATGTGGGTGTTGACACTGTTGGTAGACCCTCGATAAGGTGGAAAGAGGTCGGGAAAGATGACTCAAAGAATTGCTCAAGAAGTTCATCGGCGAGAACGACCATGCGGAACGTTGGCAGCGTCATGTGCAACGGGTTCGCAGGGTCCAAAGCAGCATTTGCCGCTTCTGACTGCGCCTTTGAGACACGTCGTTGTGACTGCCCTGCGGCAGGAGGCTTCTCTCCAGGAGGCGAGGATAGTGAGTCCGAGGACGACTTCTTTGCTTTGCTTGGGCTACCAGGAGGCGAATCCATGGCAAGTAGATCTTCTTCATCATCGTCGTCGCCGATGGCGAATGCCCCACTGTTCTCCGTAGATTTGGGCTCTTCCATTTCTTCTTCGTGGATTTTGTTGTTGGGGTGGTCGGGATCGGCATATTCGAAGCATCTTCTAATGAATGCGCTGACGCTGCCCAAGAACCTTTCGTTGGTTGAGATACCAGGCAGGCTTGGCTCACTGCCTTGGCCAGTCGGCGTGCTGAGCGTGAGCGTAGAGGCACTCGGGCTCAGTGTGCCCTCGAGTCCTCTTCTTGAGAGGAAGAGGAGCGCTTCGGAAATACGTAAGATGCCCTCACGGTCAACTTTACCATCGCCATCATCGTCGTAAAGCTCAAAGAAATACGTAATCGTTCCCATAATGTCCTTCTTGCCCTTGATCCTGGCGAAGCCCGACACTACATCAGCTAGTGTCAACACGCCGGCTCCGCTAACATCCCATTTTTTGAACAATTGCTGCATGAACTCGTGATCGGCAGGTTCTGGGCCCGACCCCCATGGGGAAAGGAGGCCGTTATTTTGACGACGGCTAGTGTAGGCATTTCTGTCCTTATCGGCGAATGTATCGCGGCGCGGCGTAGTGGGTGAGTCGGACATCGCCCACTTTGCCATGTTGGCGAGGAATTCTCTAAATGCATCGTAATCCATCAAACTGGTGCTAGCACCAAGGGCCACTCGCCCCTTTTCAACGTGTTCATCGCTGGGTTCAAACACATCTCGCGCTCTAGGCCGTGCGTTCTTTGCACGACGTTGTTTTTCCTGCTGAATAATGCTCTCTCGCTGTTGTCTCTCGTACAAGATTGTATAGAAGCGATCGTACAAGGCGCCCAGCTCCTCCGTGGCAAGGAGTTTGCTGTCGGGGCCCAAATTTCGGAGGGCTGTTCTCTTTGCGAAACTCTCAATGTTGCTCAGTACGGCATCCTTGTTCTTCAACCGCAGATCCGTAATACTGCTGTGGGTGATACCCGAGAATTCCTTGAATGCCACCACCATTAACTCTTGGAACTTGGTCACGGCGCGCAGCTTCGGGTTCTCCGACTTGGGGTGTGCCGACTCGTCGAGACGAGCAAAGTAACCCTTGAGGATGGAGATGAAGGCACCGTCATCTGTGGCATCCAAAAGCTCCTCGCCGTTGATTCTCAAAATGGCAAGTCCTATTTGGAACAGAACTTTCGGTCCCTCGACGAAGAAGACGTCCAGAACTCGGAAGGCGAAAACCAAGGGCATCGAGTTGATGTATAGTGACAAGAACCAAGGCAGTGAAACGACTGAAAGTTGTACGTCGCTCTTTACCAGATGTTCCCACAGGATAGGCATGGTCTTCTCGACTAGTGACTCAAACACCTTTTGGTCCAACAAAGTTCCGTACATTGTCGTAGAGTAGTATCCTGGTACCAGCCTGTCGCACATGGACGACAGTAGGAAGAAGGCCTGCGTCTCCGACATGTAGATGAGCAATGCCGCTACTACAATGTTCATGGCCTGGCAGTATCCGACATCCGGGTTCACCCAGCTGTAAGCCGTAAGCACACGGCGGAGACGGCCGATGCCCTCTTCGCTCTGGAATCCAGGATACTCTGGCAAGCTTCGATTCAGATCCTTTTCGATCTCGTCAATAGCGAGGGACTCTTGGCCTTCGTACTTGGCTAGTGTTTCGGCGTACAGTGTTGGGTGCTCGAGTCGGAGGTAGATTGATCCAGACGTCAACTCCCAAGTCTCACCTCTCAATCGGTTAGGCAAACCAACACGGATGAGCTTGTGGAAGGTCGGCTGACGGATGAGCGTCATGTTTCGCCCGTTGTCGCGCAAGTATTCGGCCCAGAGACGCATCTTGGCCCTGTCGCGGAGCTTCTTTGGGTCTCCAGGATAGCGGAAGAGCATGCCTAGGCCGGCGTCGGGCGGGCTCGCATTCTTTTTGTCGTCGGATCGGAGGAGGTACTCGGAGTAACACTCGCTGGTGACCTTTTTGTATTTGCCAACATTCCCAACGCCGGCCCTCAGTCCTTTTTTCAGGCCGTCGCAGAAGCGCTCGCAGCCCTGGCGGGTACCGGCAAGGTGTATCGTGATCCTTTGTTCCCTAACATCCTTCTTATCCTTGTCGGGGACGGCTTCCTTGTCCTTGTCCTTCTTCTCTTGCTGATTGATGCCATTCCATGTGGTAATCGCCAAGGCAAACTACGTGGTAGAGCAGCATGTCAGTTCATGGCCTTGCGGGGGATGGAGCACGGACTGTTGTCAATGTCACAACCCGGAGTTTGGAGCAACCTTACCTGGAATGTCTGGCTGTTCAACCTCTCCACCCTTCTGATGGCGCAGAGGGGAAAGGTGAAGCCATTTCCACTGGGGCCTCCGCCATGTGTTTGGCCGGTGAAGGCAGAGCTTGTTGAGGTGCTGGCGCCCTGGACGAAACTGGATGGGGTAGTGGAGAAGCACATGTAGCCTTCAGACAGGTGTAGCTTGCCAGCGTAGTGGTAGCCTCGATCGTGGTCCTTGCCTCCATAGGTGGCATTGGCGGGCGGGATGGTCAACTCGGCATTGATCTCGTACAGCGGCGTCTGGGTACTGGGTAGGCGGAACTGGTTCTGGAACAGCGATGACTTGGATGGGTTCTTGTCCGAGTTGGTCAGGTTCAGCCCTTGGGTCGGGTCGACCAACTGCTGTGCCTTCTGCACGAGACTGGATAGAGTGAACATCCTGATGCTGTTGCACTCAGCTGGTCATGTCGGGGAGTGGTATCGTAAGGGGAGCGCGAATCGAAGGGCTCGGCTTGGGCCGGATGGATACAGATTCGCGGGATGCGTAAGGCAAGGTCGGCTCTTGGTCGACGGCTTGCAGACTTGGAAGGGTGAGGGTGGTTCGAGCCTAAAACGAGGTGCTGGCTGCCGAAGGAGTGAAAGGAGCTTTGGCGTCACAGCAAATGAATGGATGGTTCTTGAAGCATCAGTACGCCTCGAGACTGAAATGCAGTTGTTCGATTCGGTGTTCGGAGAGAGAGTATGTGTGTGGGATTTCGTTGGATGATTTGATGGGGAGAGAAGCAGTAAGCAGCTGCGGGCCAAAGGTCGGGACTGGAGCTGAATGCAATGCAGTGGATAGTTGGAGAGGTTTCCCGCCAAGGATTCCGTCCATGCCCAGAGGGTCACGGTACGTACCCGCCCTACCTTTTCTGAGCCCGTCTGCCCTATCTGAACTGCTAGTGACCTGCAGCTGTGGCAGCCCACCTGCACCACTCACACCTTACCTCCCACCTCCCTAACGCTTCCCACCTGGGCGACTTTAGGTGCTCGTGAACGGCAGTCAGGCACCTTAGCAACCTACCTCACCTGGCAAGGTGAGAGGCTTGCTACCCCTAATCGGACTGCACGGGAGGCACCTCATAGTGGGCGGCGTGGGCGGTTCGCAGCCCGGCAGTCCCCTGCAGAGGGGTAACCCCTCTGCACCTTATTTGCAACCCGCCTGCGCCGACCATTCTTAGGTCATGGCACTCCACCTCTTCCGTCAGTCTCATTCTCATCTCACCCATTAAACTCACCCGGCTACTCCCTCTTTTCCCCCTTTACTCAGCGAGAGGTCACACACACCTATACACACTTTTGGTTTGCAACCCCTTGATCTGCCTTGCCTTTTCCGCCGTACGGATATGATGGCATTTATCCCACCTTGGACATTCCAGTCTGGTTGACCCTTCAGATCAAGTTGTGATGATGTCACTTCCTTCCCTATGGCCCTCACCAAGGCCTTCACTACAACAAAGAGCCTCATCAAACTGTCCGACACAAAACCCGATTGCTGGGCTATAACCAAAATGAGATACAGGTGAGATGAGTCTGGGAAAGGGAACGCATCGTCTGGCTCAGGTGACGTGAGATTGGCCCATCACCAGAGTGACAATCCACGAGCATGTGTCATGCCCAACTCGGCTAGCTCCCCAAGGAGCTGAGACACTCACCCATGCTGTCATTGTCCTTGCCAGGACTTTTGGTCGGTGCTCACGGGGGCGCTCTGACAACCTGGTCAGCCATCTCAGGTCGGGCAGCACGTTGCGATTTGCTCGTGTCTTTTGACTTGCTTCTTTCTGTGATGGCACGGCATCTCACTTGCATATGGGCACTGGGGCAACAGGAAGAGACAACAACCGCCGGTCATGACTGCGATGCCTCATATGGACACGAAAATCCTCTTCTATTCCTTGATCGGAGTATCTCCTACCTCCGAAAGACAAGGTTCCAGAGTTCCTGAATTGCCCCCGGTACAGGCTGGCTAATTCTCCAATCGTAATCTAACGCCTTCAAATACCCGAGTGAAATAGGGTGGGAAAAAAAAAATCAATACCCAGCGATGCCTACCTTATCCAGGGTTTGACCAGCAGAATTTCCCTCACACACATATTCCAGACCGAAGCCTAGCAGCTTCTTCCCCCCATGTCCAAGCTCTGCCTCTCTCGAGCGACACTGAATGGGCCGCTCATTCTCTTGATCCTCGCTACCAAGTCTCATGCAGTACAGTTACAGGTTGGAGTATCATAACAAAAAACATGAAAGAATTACGGAGACCAACTCCTCCGAGTAAAGAACAACTCCGAACGCATGATTCATACAATGATGGGTCGAAAAGATTGACAAAGCTTGCGTCAAAAGTCCTTGAAGTACTGGTCGTATTTCTGGACCATGTCCTCTGTGTATGGCTCCCTCTTGCCGTCGTCCTCGGGGTAAATGTCGAAGCATTGCGCATCGCCGGGGTATCGAATCGGTGGGATGATGGGGCCTCGCACTCGTCGGTGGTACATGTCGTCCCAGTTGACCCCTCGGAAGAAGGGGTGTTCTTTGACCTTGGCTGCTCCCCCGCTAACGTTGCCTAGTCGTCGGGATCGGTCTACTGTGCAGAAGGATCTGATCAGATCTTGAGCTTCGGCTGATACTGGCGGGTCATGAGGGAACATGACGGGCTTCTCGACAATCCTGCCAAGTTTGTTAGTGGCTACTGCAATGAGAAAGAGAGAGCCTGCCGGCCGCGGCGGTGTAACTCACTGCTTATAGATCTCGATTGGGTTCTGGTGCCAGAATGGCGGGTATCCAGTCAAGAACTCGTATATCAGAATGCCCAGCGCCCACCAGTCCACTGCCGTCGTGTGACCTTTGTTATGGATCACTTCCGGGGCGAGGTATTCGGGGGTGCCGCAGAGTGTGTAAGTCTCAATGGGCTGCCCTGAGCTATTGCTCAGCCTCTTTGCGAAGCCAAAGTCGACCAACTTGATATGACCGTCGCCATCTAGGAGAAGGTTTTCGGGCTTGAGGTCACGATACGCGACACGGCCTTGTTGCTCGTGAAGGTATTCCAGTACTAGAACAATCTCTGCAGCGTAGAAGCGCGCCGTCTCCTCCTCGAAGCGCCGGAACTTGCGCAAGTAGCTGAAAAGCTCGCCGCCGGGGACGTAGTCTAGCAGCATGTACAAGTGATCGCGGTCGGCGAAGGAGGAAATAAGATTTGTGATGAAGGGGTGGCCGGCAACATCGCCGAGAATTAGACGTTCGTGGCGGACGTGGTCGATCTGCTTCAGCTTGATGACCTCTGTTTTCCGCAATATCTTCAGCGCGAAGACGGTATCGCGCTCCTCTTCAGTCGCATTTGCCGGGCGCACAAGACACACCCGAGCAAACGTTCCTGCACGGTTAAGGTCCATGGTTAGCAAACGGTGTTCCGAGACAAGGTAGGTGCAGCGAGACATGGGGGAAGGGGCGCAAACGAACCAGTTCCAAGCGTTCTTACAACGCGAAAGTCCTGAGGAGTCAACTTCCGGCTCGTAATAGGTCCAGCTCCAGCATCGGATTGTTGTTGCGCCTGAGCCTGAGCCTGAGCCTGAACCTGAGTGTGGCCATTACTGCTACTGCCTCCGCCCATCATCTTGGACAAGCCTCCGCCGACCTGGTTCGACAGGGGGTTCGCATGCGCAACGGTAGCCGCCATATTATGTATTTTTTTGTTGATGGCTGCTATTCCCGTCATATAGAGTAGGGGGTATTCGGTTCGGATCTGAAAAATTGTTTGGTATGGTTATTCGTTCAGCTTGACAGCACGTCGATCGTCACCATCACGGCCCGAAAAGGTGGTCGAGTCGAATAAGGCAGGTCAAGGTCGACCAGTCGTCGTGAGGTTGTTAGATGGGTGAAGAAGGAAGGAAATAGGTTGTATTTCGTTGCGCCCCGTGAGGTGAGTGGTCAATGGGAAGGAGTTGTGGTGGTGGAAAGGGGTTCGATTCGGATCGAGGCCTCGTCTGGTGCTGGGTCTAGGCCCAGGACTGGGGATGGATATGTGTGGTTCGGAGCTGTCGAACTGGAGCTGGCGGGAAGACACGCCGCACCGTTTCTTCCCCTGGGGCGACTGACCACTGCTGCTAGGAATGGATATCGAGGTCAAGTAGCCGCGAGTGGTTCGTTCGCGACGTCTGATATGGGCGAGGGTAGGATATCGTTCCTCTCCCGGTCGTGCTCTGTGTCTGTATTGGGATCGGTAAGGTAAGGTATGTGGTGGGAGGAGAGCACGTCTTCCACTCTTTCTCGCTGGTGGTAACCTTTCAGGAAGAGGAAAACCTTCAGATGAAAGGGCCGTGGCAATGACGAAAGGCAGGCAGAATAGACAGCTACATACGGTAGGAGCATTTATGGGGCGGACCAGGAAGGAGGGAGGAGGGAGGGGCAGAGCGCGACTACTCCGTACTTGCTGCTTCAGAGCCCTCTGGCTATTTGCTGCTTCAAATGGCAGGGACCGCTAGGTTGTGATTGCCGGGATGGGACGTGGAACACCACGTTATGGGCAGGCAAGAGGCGTGGGTTCTTGGCTTCTTTGCTACCCGACAACACGGGGGTACCTTCCCACGCCGCCCACTTTCGCTCCTTCCCACTTTGCGACCGCGATACCTCGTGATACCTTGACCGCCCTCTACCATGCCTCGCACACCACAGTCCAATGTGAGGCAAGATGTATCCCGAGTACCTACTTTTCTCACTCACCGCGTGGACAAGTACATCGTACTTACTGAGGTGCGCAGTAAAGTGGAAGGCCGTGTGGATGTGGACTTGCATTGTGTGGATGGGTCGGTCGCTCCTTCAACCTGCACTTGTAACCTCACCAACAGCAGCACTTTGACATGTTTGCCGCCTTTCTCAATTTCTTACAGCCTGTCCAATCCCAATCCACGACTGTCATTCGTAAGTACACTCACTACCTACCTTGGGCACGTTCGCAACGCTTAGCCACCCGGCCAGATACTGCAGCAGAACGCAGTAGGTAGAGTCGATGGAGAAACAAGTCTCGACTATGCAGCTTTGCAGCGGGTGCGGCGTGTAATCCAGCGGAACCACCGACATGGTCTTGCCTCTTTGGGAGTAGCCTCCTGTCCACCCGGTGGAAATCCGGGGACTCACTCTTCTGCCCATGTCTCGACTCGGCCCGCCTCGGCCACACTCGCACTCCTCTTCTTCTTCGTCTTCTTCTTCCAGTCTTTCTCGACGCTGACAGTCGATTCCTCGCGTGGACCATTCCATTCCGTCTGGAACATCCGCCTGGGACCGTCAGCTACGGAGGCTGTCCGTCATCCCCACATGGCACCGCTTCAGCTCTGGGCTCTGGCACTCAGCTCGCATCACAGCAGTATTACGGGTTAATAATACTCGACCCCTTTCTTCATGACCCATTCGCCTCTTTCTGCAACATTCATCAACAGCACCGACCAGCTATTTCGCTTTGTTCATCACACTGAAATCTGTCCCGCCAGTCTCACCCTCCTACGGAGTACTCTTCTGCCGTCTCCCTCCCATCCCCAGACGAAGAAAGCTCCGCCGCCCCCTGTTGACTGACCACCTGTACTTGGATTTGCTGATATCAGCCCAGATATCGGTTACACTCCTAAGCAGATGCTGATACGCTCTCAATCCGATATCGTCCACGATCAGACACCCTGACTCCCACATCCGAATAAATCTCCGAAGCCCTGGGACGCCCTGGGACTGTGGGTTCTTTCATCCTCTATTTTTCCAGGGGCCTTTCGATACTTCGTACTTGCTAGATATAGAGCTTTCCGAGGCAACAAAAAACGTCCATGTCCACCGCTCTAATCCAGAGCCCGAACCACAGCGGACAGTCTCCTAGATTCGTATTGGCCTGCCTCACCTTTGCCATATACCCTTCCGTCATTGATCGGTCTCCATCCTCCTGGTTCTTCCGTAGCGCCCACCTACGGCGTTCCGTCGGCCAAAAAACAAGCGGCGGCGATATCAAGCTCTGTCTCCCTCACCATACCACCGTGGCGTAGCAGATGTGGCTGCCACAGCCAAAGAAAGGTGGCTCTGACGCGGCCTCCGGACGTTTGAGAGCCGATGAAAAGACGGTAAAGGCAAAAAAAGGAGACCTAACACTAACTGACAGAGACAGTCTTAGGCTACGGCTGATGGAGGCGTCGCTATTGAATAAACAGCCGTTGGCGTTGCTGCTCCCCCGAGGCTTTCATCGCATCCAAGACATCCAGTTTCGCACAGGGCCGCCTCATGGTCAGTCAGATCTCGCCCAGGCCATGCGGAATCCGGTCCCGCGGGGAGGGAAAGGGCCTGATCAGTGATACACCTTGCATGCAAGCGACTCTTATCGGCGGCTATGACGCAACGTCTCGATCTCATCCCACCTCTCGCCCACACCTCAGCTTGCTCATTGACACTGACTTTTCCGAGCCAACAACCGTTACGATATGCTTTTCGGCTTCGCAATCCGAGCCGTTTCTACCACGGCCTGGCAAGTCGACCACGTGTTATCCGCGGTACGGGGAAGCATAGCCGCTCTGCCATACTCAGCACCACAATAACCTCTACTGGATCTTGATATCTCGTCATAGCCGAGCTTAAGAATTACACCATAAAATCAATCTCAGGAGAGTTTGTCCGACAACATGTCAAAATTGGCAATTCGACGGGCCACGAAACCTTGGTATGCCGGCAACCAGTCAATCAGAAACACATCACTGAGATCCTCACCGGCCTTTCGTCAGCGCCATGCGGCTTGGCCTGGGTCTTGCTTCCTTTACGTCCTTGACATGAGTCGCGCCCATGCCTGAGTGCGGCGAGGGCCCGACGGTTATGTCACTTCAGCCCCCAACGAACCGCTCTCTGCTCCTCTCAGTGAAAATTTCTTCCTGTTTTCCAGGTCGTCCGGCCGGCAGTGTCTGAAATAAGCACCAATTTCCAGCCCCGAGTACAGAGATGAAGATGTTCATTGTTGAGGTGGCTCGCGCCCCGTTCGCTTCCGAGGATCGCGGCGTTCGTCGCACGCCAGATCTCGATTGTCTACAGCAGTCTAGTGCGTTTCGAAAAGTCCTTTGACGTTCGGCGTAGGCGTAAGGCTGAAATGAGCTTCCCATCACGCTCGATTGGGGCCTTCGGTCTCAGAGTCCTGATCCGGCGATTTATCGGATCAACTAGCGCTTTACATGTCGCCCAGACGAACCTCATGTCTGCTGAGAAGCCTCGCCTGTTTTGGACTCTGCTCCGTGCGTAATACTCCCGGCTTTCAAGGTCTTTCTTCGGAGCCCAAGTGGATATTAAGCACAACTCTGAAAGCTCTTTGTGAGTTCAGGTGCACTCTGCCACGCCGTGGTTGTCTTGGCAGAGTTCCGGCCGGGCCGCCGAATGCGAGTGCAACGCCATACTGAATTACCGATTCACCAGACAGATATGCATCGTCAAAAACGTGTCACGAGTTACGAGATGCTAAGCCAAACCCCAAGTCTTGCCCGAGCCTCACAAGTAGGAATTCGACTCCAAGTAGTCTTGAACATAAGTCATTGTCACCCAGTCGATGTTATTTCTCCAACAGATACAGTTCTCAAATTCTTGGAGGAGGGCTTCCGCGGAGACGCGCTGTTGAGAAAAGGTCTCCGATCTAGCAAAACTCGAGAGCAACATTCATGCCTCCGGAGCTGTCCCTTTACATCTTCTACCACCGGGAAGTGACCATGAAATGAACAACCCGAGCCGGAACCCGGGACCCCTCTTCATTCCTTTTTGTCCTTTTCCTGTCTCTCCTGTCCCTTCTCTGAAATCTAGACAAAAGAAACCCTCGTCTCGAGCTGCCTTTCAAACTATTATCGGGATAACCCTTGCAAGCCCCATCTCAAGTCCCGGTCTTCGACCCGCGTCCCGGTGGTCTGGGAAACACATACCCCATCTCCAACGCCACGACGCCGCTGACGAAAACGAGCACCTTTCCATTTTGTCGGAAACACTTTGACTCGCGCCCCGTGTCAGCCGGATATGCCATGGCATGGGCCGCTTACCTCCCTTGCTCCCCTACGAGATCTGAAGGATGCTGTCGATAGATGGTTCATGCTTGGCTAAAGAAGCTGACCGTTCGGCTTGGTCTGATTGGCTTATGGTCTTGTTGACATGAGATATTGGACCAAGTCAATTGTGGCTGAGCCACCAAGATCGGATAGCAGACAAACATCGTTCAAGGATACTCATATACGAGAACCGAAAAATCTTGATCGGATCTATAGTTCAGTTCGAGTTCATGATGCGTTGTAACTAATGCTCCGCTCTAAAAACCAAAAACCCGCTCGCGGTTCCTTCAACCCCGCCCATCGCTGGGAGCCATCCCCGAATCCTTCGCGTTGAACGTGTACGTACATGAAGGTCCAAACGACAAACAAGGCCAGGGTATATCTTCAAGTCCCACTACGTCGCCTCCCTCTATGCTGCATTGCTGGCTCAAGCCTTCGGCTCAGCTCAGCTCAGCTCAGCCACCAGATACCTGCGCCCACAGCCAACAGTGTGGCTAGTATCATCGCCCCCTGCTTAGTAGACCACAGGAACATGCTCCAGCCAACAAGGACTTCCTTCCGTCTTGCTGCCGCACGTCGCTCCCAGGCCTCCGGGTCGATGGCTACCGGGAGAACGAGGCGGGGATCCACGGCATTGGACGTGGGGGCTTCCGTCGATGAGCGGACCAGCTCCTTCTCGGTGAGGAGGGGAACGGCAGCTCTCAGAAAAACGGCCCTGTGGTCTGAGCTGCGGACTACGGGCATGGCGTCGTAGATCTTGACGTCGACCTTTTGAGGCTTGGTCTTGACCCACGAAGGGACGTCCAGGTACAAGATGCGATCCGTCCAACCAGGGTATCGGTGAGGCGCAAACACCCAAGGCACATCCTCCACACCATCGACCTCCAGGCGGGTGTCATCTTGGGGCAGAACGTTGTATTTGTAGGTCGGAGGGAACTTGACTTCTGCCTCGCTCATGCCGTGCAACGTGCGTCCTGCCTGTCGTTCTCTCGTGAGCTGGTCCAAGGCGAAGAAGCGGGAGTAATGATGTTCGCTGTCGGGGTCGAGGCTGGGAAATGTCGCCATTGGCGGCGGGCTCGTTGTTGAGATGCGATAGTTGAGGTCGCCACCGACAAAAAGATGGGAGCTTGGCTTGAAGACGGATATCTCCTGTAGCCGTTCCTGAAGTGCGAGCGTTTGTGCTTGATGCTCGTCGTGCAACAAGTGCACTGCTTCATCTCTGGCACCCTCAGCCTGGCCCTCTCCATGTGTAGGAGTGGTTGGCTTATTCTTCTTCGGGTGCAGAATATCTTCCGGGTTCTCGAATGTCAGGCCACGCATGATGGTCGCCCA